TTAACTTGACCAAAACCGAAACCCAATGCTCCGGGATTTGAGTTTGTCCTACATTCAAATCCTCCTGACAATTGGGGACATTCCAATATCACATATAAATTTCCTATTCTTGGTCCTTTATATGTGATATTGTATTTCATTTTATTTGTTTGTCTTTTTGTCCTATGATTTACCTATTTCTGTTAAGTCTTTTTCAGGTCATATTTTTCTCTTTTACACAGCGCATAATAGCTAAATTTAAAGGAGCAATGAACCTCTCAGATGTACAAGTTTAATTTACATTACAACATTTTATTTTAAAGCATGTTATATTGTTTTCGTAGCCTGTTATACTGCTTCCCTAGCACGTTATGCTCTTCTTTCAGCATCTTCTTTCAGCATGTTATATTAGCATGTTATATTGTCTTTTTTCTTTACTATACAGTGCATTGTTACTTTTCTTTAACACTGCATGCGTAGTTACTTTGATACACAATGCTTTAGTTTAGGATAACCTAGTGGTTAGGAGCATGTTCAAAACTAAAACTAAACCAGGAGATGCTACTACGAGGAGTTTGGAGCAAACATCGTGGGCAGCGCGACGAGGAATAATTTCTAAGCGGATCTGCAGTAACGAAACATCTTCACATCACATGAACACATTCACATCACTTATTATTATCTTTAGTTTAAATAACAATCTATAGGATCACTCTTTAGGCATTTTGTACAATTTCGTTGTACAATTACAAGTCCTAACGCTTTAGGATTCCGAGGTTACCGTGTGGTACGGTGTAAATCCTCTCATCTTTTTAGGCTATTTGCACAGTTCGATATTGTGTAAACATAAGTCCTAAATCTTAAATAATTTGCAAGATTGAAATATCAAATAATCATCACTTCAAAGACATAAAGTCGAATATTAGTATAGTTGGGAGTTCACTGGGGTTTTTCCCAGATCTGTGACGTCCCCTACTCTTCTTTCCCTTGGATTTCTTAAATAATTGTTCTTATTTTGAGGCATTCCTATTTGATTTTCCCATGTCCAATCGTGAAAACCTAAACTTTGAAATCTTGAAAGCAAAACCACCTGATCTTAATCGAGAGTTTTCTTAAATGACTTCCAGTTATTTAATATATAATTAACTATAGGGGCATGCCTCTATAGGGAACCAGAAACCCAGATAAAATAAACCTTATCTAATCCTCGTATTAGGTAGGGGAACTTGTTGGCAAATAAGACAAATTCGCAGACCGAACGAATGTCACAAATTCTTTAGTTTAAGTGATTGAATCCTTATTACAAGTGATATATTTATTCTTCGGGATAAGTGTATTACTCGTAGTATTGTATTAAACGTAGTATTGTATTAGTATTAAATCATCTGAACTATTTAAAATGTGAGACTCGTTTGGTCTCACTTATTTTAAAAATTAAAATGCTACTTTCAAAAATCAAAAGAAGTTATATTCATATTTAAATTATTTTTTTTTTTAAATCACAAAATCATTTACTTTTTTTTAAATCACGAAGTTTTTAAAAAAATATAAAACGGCCGACAATTCACCACTTGATGACACAGATTATCATTGATCGTGCCCTCATTAATATGAAACCTATAATGAATCATGTTGCAGCCATGACTATTTTATTCATTCCAATCATTTTCATTCTCATAGTTATCATAAATCATCTACCAAACTTAAAATTGATAGTTCATATGATAACACCTAATATTCTAATGATGATTGAGTGTATTGTAAAAAAAATTAAATATTTTTATAAGTGCTACTGTCATTTGTATGGATCATATGATAATTAATACATGCTTGCCACATCAAGCATCATCCAAAATCATCTAATCCTCTTGATAAAACCCAAATAAAACACCATCTATTGAATTTCAAATTCAGAAATTTATGACAACGCCAAAATTTAAAAATGTTATTTCAACTCTAGAAGATTTAGTACTTGGGTTGTTTTTTGTTCAACTCAAATTAAATCCTTGGAAAATCTACTAGAATGTTGTGCTAATTGGCCCATTCCATTTGAGGACGCCTCTTGTAATGATTAGCAGGTGATCTTGATAATGATAATGATGATGATGATGATTTAAAAGCAATGGAGCTTTGTATAGCTGAACCTGAAATTGTGCCTAAGACTATGAATAGTATTGAAGTAACCTGTGATGCTGTGCTCCTTTTATTATGTCATATGATCTTATGTAACTCATATTTATGAGACGGGGATATCTTTTACTATATAAAGTAATTAATATTTATATTTGTACAAGGGAGAAAATTGGAAATTTATTCCATCATTGAAATATTTGGAGATAACCATGCCTAGAAAATGTGGTCAACATCTTCAAAAATTAGAGTTCTCTTCATGGAAAAAAACTATTATAGTACTCTTCATCTAAAAAATGGCAATGCAGAAGAAAAAGGAGATCCACCGAGAATTGGGGAGGACTCATAGCCCCAATCATTTGTTGGAGCGATCAAAGTTAAAAGGGGAAGTTCTGACCAATAGGGCTTCATAACAATAAATATGCTTGCATGAATTTATTCATGCATAGTAAACTAATATGTGAATAAGGACGAGCTTAACGATGATAGAGTTTAGAGGAGGATAAAGAGGAATTTAAATTGCTCCTATTCATTTTAATCTAAATGTGAAAATCAAGCGACCGGCTATCACTTTGAAATAAGGGGGATTATATCTAATTTACTAGATTTATAAATTATTGTGTTTAGTTTTCATATTTCAATGTATTTTTTTTCATTCCAAATATCAGTTGTCAAGTATTATATTTTTCATACCTAGATTTTTAAATAATTTCAGTAGCCACTACATTTTTTCTCGTAATTATATTGTAGCGCTTGATAGTTTATTATGCTTTTTTGAACAAAACATAGCAACCAAGGATAACTGTGGCCATTACCTTCCCTCCTTATGCCTCTCATTCTTCTTCACGTGCTTGGCCAAGCTTGTATATGCCTCTCATTCTTTTGCACGTGCTTGGCCAAGTGTGTATGCTTGCGCACACATGTGAATTTGTCATAGGGCGGAGAAATTTTAGCGTTTTAAATAGGATTCTTTAACCCAAACTAACAATTTTTAAATTTTTCTCGAGTACTTAATTGCTCTTGCCAGCTCTCAAAAATGGTGGGTCAATGGTTTTCAAGTTTTAATTAGAAAAAAGAAGTGATTGACTCTATCTGCTATTTCAAATTACCCATATTGGGAAGTTCCTTATATCAATCTTGTTTGGCATTGGGTGAACATTTAGGAATGAAGTCTTTGCGCTTTCATTTTTATCTTGAAGGTTAAGGTGCATTCCATGTAGAAACATTTTTTTTTTTTGCTTACGAAGGATTGCAAGGTCATTTTTATAATATCAACTAAATGCTGTTCTTCTATATTTAGTGTTTTCCATTTAATTCTTATTTTTGGACAACTTGGAAAATATTTGGGAGTAAGAACTAAATTTGGCCAATTCCATTAGTTTAGCTTCAATTATTCCTTCTATTTTTTGTCTCATTTCACAATCTTATAGGTTGATGCTCATGTGAAAGCTCTCAGAACTTTGTGCAAGCAAAAGGCCTTATCTCCCAAAGAAGGAGATGAACTGATTGGAAAATGGGTGCATCAGTTGCTCTCCGGGGCTCAGAACATTCTTGAAAGCTACATGTCTAAGCTCTCTGAAACTGTGAAGACTGATAGTTTTTTCACTCCACAAAGGGATCGAAGGAAACGAAAGGATGAGTCAGCTTCATCAAAGTTGTTGTCACAAGCCATAACGGCTGCTTTCACCATTGGGTCATTGGTTTTGATTTACCCATCGGCTGATCTGCATGGTATTGTCCCTCTGTTACATACAATGATAACATCTGGAAAGTCTGTGGCTGAGACTACAAAACTAGTGGGCGTTACTGTCTCTGTGAAAGAAAGGGCACCATCTCTGTATATTCAATCATGGGTGGCCATGGGGAAAATTTGCCTTGTCGATGATAAACTGGCAACACTTTACATCCCACTATTCGTACAGGTATGGTTTTTGCAGCTGTGAGAAATTAATAGTTTGGTTTCTTGTTACATAGATTACAGAGTTTTTTTATTGGTTTCTTAGGAACTAGAGAAGAGTGATTGCGCCGCTGTTCGCAACAATATCTTGGTTGTGATGGCTGATTTTTGTGTTCGGCACACAGCATTAGTTGACTGGTATCTCATGTACTTTTGCAATTTGCATGATTCTCTTGCATCTACATCTTTATGCTTTTTACATTAGTATCTTTAATCACTGGCGGTTCTTAGGACTTGAATTAATAGGTGAAAAGCAGGATATAGCTGAAATTGAGATTAGTATGATAAATGCTCCCTGTTGTAGGTTGACAACTTTGGGGTTGTTTTTCATGTTGATATAGTTGCTTATTTTAGACGAAGGGTTAATTTAGAGCAGTTAACAACTTTTTCATAGATGGTTGTACTGACCTTTTTTTTAAGTTTTAGGTATTATAAATATTTTCTTTTGGAAAAAGTTGCTTGACAACTTCTTTAAAACTATCACATTCTAGCAAATTGGTTGTTAAAAGGCGCTTTCAAATATAAAATTTCTGAAAAAACATCAAGAGAACATCATCCAAATAAAAGTGTGGCACGGTTTAATATGGTAATAGATTCAAATTTTTATAACTAAAATCACATGGAGATTGTCGATTGCCAAACCCTTCATATTTGATCTACAAATTACCCAAGTGAATGTGATTAAAATAGATCAAGTAAACACATCATCCTAACGAATTGGTTGAGAACATGAAATCGTTGCTCATTTCACCAAATAAATTATACCAATGCATTTAGAACGCAAATCTAGTTTATAAATGCCTCCCTGTGTCACTCAACTTGTAGCTTTAGGAAACAATTTATCTATAAGAGAGTGAGTGTGTTGTGAAAGATAAAACACCTTGACAACACAGGCCGTGATGAATAAATTTAAAATCCTATTTATACTCATAAGAGGAAGTTCATGGATAAACAATTATAAATAAAAGTTATTAGCATAAGCAAAAGGGAAATAATTAAAACTTACTTGTACGTCGTAAAATATGACTAGAAGTTATTTATGTATTTATTTCATTCCAGTTTATATATCTATAGCTTATTTTATCAGACATTTTGAAGCCATGATGATAAATGTTAACCCATATAAATTTAAAGATTTCCTATAAAGTTGTCCCTGAGCCTATCATTGGACTTACTAATGTTTAAAAGGATTCTACCAACCTATATGCTACTGTGTACAAGCATGTAATTCGAAAATTTATTCATCAGGCTGGAGAGAGTGGACTTGGACGTGGCACTTGGGAACAGAGGGAGTGCGAGTAAGGTAGCAGCAACAGGGAGTGGACCTGGATTTGGCGATTGGGAGCAGAGGAAGTGCAATGTAATGGCAACACAGAGGAGGGGTTGGTGGTTTGAAATAGGGAAGAGGATTGACGAGGAGAGTTGGGGAAGATAAGTATCTCTACGGGATCGAGTTATAGCCAGAGCACCCTTTGAACCTTTGGAGAAGATCACCACATCTGACGAGTTGCAGCCAGAGCACCCCTCGCTTTTGGATACAACCTTAGAAGGGAAAACAACTGTTGATGGTAGCCTGGACAAAATTCTGAAATCAGAAAGAGAAAAACTACATCTTACGACAACAAACACCCATATTTATAATAAATATATAGATGAGAAAATAGAAAAGGAAATGGGGAATAATTCACGCCCAATCAAAGAGGGAGGGGGTCGGTCTAGCCTCCTATGGAACCGAGAGCCTTCTTTTG